GTGTGTGTGTGTGTGTGTGTGTGTGTGTGTGTGTGTGTGTGTGTGTGCTCTGCGGCCTTTCAAAGCCTCTGCCCTCGGGCGGCCCCCTCCCTCTCGACCAGTCCTTCCTCCCCAGCGATGGAGGAGTTGCCCTGCAAAGTGGCACAAACCCCTGGCACATCCATGCCACCTCGTCCTGCCAGCCGCCTGCTGGGTGACGGGCGGGAGCTGCGTGCCTTCCTTGGCCTCAGCAGGCCCCTTTGCTCAGGGGACGGGGGGGCACTTCTCTTCTTTCCCGACCTTCCAGAGTTTGGCCAAGTGGGAAAACGACAACAAGATCGTGTGTGAGCAGAAGCTGCTGAAAGGAGAAGGGCCCCAAACCAGCTGGTCCCGGGAACTGACCAACGACGGGGAGCTCATCCTGGTGAGCCCCCTCACTTCTGGCGCGGCGGTTCTGCCTCGCCCTCCTGCCTTCTCGGCGGCTCTTTTTTCGCTGGCCTAAAGCACAGACTTACACCAGGATGGGGCTCTGGGGGGTGCAGGTCAACACCCAATCCTGGGGGGGGGCACCTTCTCAAGCCCCCCCCCCCCCCGGGGCCCAGGGGCGGCGGGGAAAGCCCCCCCCCCCCCCGGAACCCTTTTCCCTCCTGCGGAAGGCAGGAACAGCAACAAGCCCAAACCATGTCCCAGGGTGCAGATTCGGGGGGGGGGGGGCAGTCTGGGGGGATCCCCTCGCCCCTTCTCCCCCCTTTCCAGCCCCTTTGCCCCTCCCCCGCCTGCCAGAGGACAAGGAGCCCCTCCCACTTCCCTCTCAACTGCTCCTCCTTTGCTTTCTCAGACCATGAAGGCCGACCACGTCGTGTGCACGAGGATCTACGTCCGTGAGTGAGAGGCCTCCCGCCAGCGCCAGGCCCAAGGGGGGGAGCTGCACCCCTGCCCTGCAGCCCCGTGGCAACCTCCCCCACTGCCTGGTGCGCGGAGGCTCCGTCGGCCACCGGACGAAGCAGAGCGGCCCTTCCACCCTGGCTGAAGGGAGGGGGCCAAAGCGACCGGAGACCCTCTCCCTGACCCCCTCCCCCCCTACAGAAGCCTGCCTCGCTTGGGGGATTAATGGCGGAATCTGGGGTCAGGCTTGGGGGGTCAGGACGGGTCCCCCATGGAGGCTCTGCCCTCCTCTCCCATTTGGGGCGGGGGGCTTCCCTTCAGCTCCTGAGGTTTTCCCTGCCGCCCCCTCCTTTGTTCCTGGCCGGTGTGGGCTGCTCCGCCTGCTGAACCCCCAGAGCAGCGCAGCAGCTTTCCTGCAGGGACCCACCAAGGGGCTGCCGCTCCCACCCCTCACCTCCGTCCCTTTCCTTCTAGCCCAAAGCCTGTGACCTTCCCCCGCCTCCATTAAAGTCTCTCCCAGGTCTCCTGCCTCCTCCATCCTTTCTACGAGGGGGGAGGCGTTCCCCGCCTCAGCCCCCCCCTCCGCGCCCAGTCGGTGCCCCCGTCACCTTGCCAGTCTCTCCTCCCCATCTCACCGCCTGGCACTTCGTCTGTCCTGGAACTGGGGAATTCTTGGAGGGGGGGTGTTCCACTTCCCGCCTCCTTTCTCTCTGGCTCCAGGGCTCCCAAAGGGAGGCCAGATCTGATCCTTTGGGGGGCTCTGGTGGGTGGCAGGCCCTCCTCAAGCGGCCCTCCTGTGGGGCTCTCGGTGGGAGGGTCTCTGCCTCCTTTGGGACCCCAGATTCACCGAGGGAGGGAGGGGGGCAGAAAAGCCCTCCCGGGGAGAAGCCTCCGCGGGCTTGGGGAAGCACCTCTGAAGCCAGGTGGGCCCAACTTTGGAGAGGCAAGCGCTGCCTCAAGCCCCCCCCCGCCCCTTCGTTGCCATGGCAAAGCCAAGGACCCCTCTGCGCTCTGTGCCTGGGAGCCTCCAGCGGCCGCGTTTATCCCAGGCAACCTCCCTCGCAGTGACCTCCTCGCGCTCCGCTTTTCCTCTCGGGTTCCCAGGAAGGAGAACAAAGCGGGGGCCCGCTCCTCCCTCGCTCTGAAAGGGGCAACTTTCATCCTCAGACAAAGCCCGTCACGGCCCTCTCCCTCTCGGCGCCTGGAGGGTCAGAGGCCACGGTGACTGGCGGCCCCTCCTCCAGCTCTGCCCAGATGGGGGGGGGTGAGAGTTGGGGGGCCCTGCCCCCTCCTATCCAGGAGGCCGAGGGATGACCTGCAAGGCCAGCCCTGAACTTTGGGCCCCGGGCCCCCTGTGGCTCTTGGCACCTGAGATCCAGCTGGGCCAGAGAGCAGAAGGGGCTCCCGGGCCATGTGGACCCGCTTGGGGGACCCCCACCCTCGGCTGGGAAATGGGCAGAGAACCAGGAGGAGGTCCCAGGACTAGCAGACCCTCCATTTCCAAGCAGGCTCCATCCCGTCCCAAATGAGAAAACAAGCAGCCAGGTTTTTTTCTCTTAAAAAAAAGGGGGGGGGGTAGATTTGTCCCATCATTTTTGTTCTGAACCCAGCGGGGCGGTGAGTTCTCTCCCCTTTGCAGTTCCATCACGAGTCCACCAGGGGCATCATTCGCTGCCTAGATTCCCCCAGTGGCCACCAGGGGGTAGGCTTCTCTGTCGCTCGGCTTTCCACCAGCCCTTCCAAGCCTCGGGATGAAGTTTTGTCCAAGGTTTGGGGAGGGGTCAAACTCCCCCCGACTTGCTTCGTTCTTGCAAGGAGCAAGGGCCAACAAAGGAGACCCCCCCCCAGACCTCAAAAACACTGGGGAATAGAAGCCCCTAATGGGGACCCCTCTTCTCAAGACCCTCCTCGCAGGGTTTCTTGGGCCCGAAGAGGGTCCATGCCAACAAGGATGAAGCCTCGGCCCCTTTCATCAGCCCTTTTGAGACGGGAAAAGGTGCCGGGGCCTCCCACGCTTCCCCCTCTCCTTGCACCCACCTGCCCAAGCAGATCGGGGAGGAGGAACTGGGGACCCCAGCCACCGTCGGAGGTCTGAGCATCTGCCCCTCCCCCTTCCCCCCAAGGCCCCCAATCTGGCAGCCGAGCTCTGCGTTTCCTGCCCTTTCAAAGGGCGAAATAAGTTCCGCTTGGAAATCGGAAACCGTGGGCAGAAAAAAGGCTTTTCCGCAGCAGCAGCCGGTACAAAATGGGCGAATCCAGGCTTGGTCGGTGGGACGTCTCTGCCTGCAAATCCTCTTCCACCCCAGCAACCCTCCGGCGGCTCCCCTTCCCCAGGCCCAGCCCAGCCGCTTCCCGGACTGCCTCCTGGTCCCCATTCAGAAGCAGAGCTGAGGTTGGGTTTTTTTGGGGGGGGGGGGGGCAGCTGGGCCCTGCACCCATCCCACCTTGTGGGGGATCTGCTTGTTATGACCACCAAGTGGGCCACCCAGCACAGGAGCTGCAACCGGCGTCCACGGCTGCATTCGCACACGGATCCAGAGGGAGCTGCGAGCGATGCCGGGCCCCTTCGCACGGAGCCCCAGACCAAGCAGGGAGCAGGAGGGACGGGATCAATAACCAGGCAGACCAAAATCGGGAGAATCTCCTTGTTTCCCTTGAAGCAACATTCAAGTCAAGTTGGGGCCTCGCCCGGCTCCCACAGGCGCCCCCCCCCCCCCCCCCCGTTCTTTCAGAAGTGGAAAAATAAAATAAAAATAAGAGGAAAAGCAAAAAGCCCGGAACGAACTGCGAAGTTTCCTCAGAGGAGACCAAGCTGTGCTGGGTTCGGAAGCCGGGGGGGGGGGGGGGCTCTCACATGCCAGGCGGGGACCCAGGCCGAGGGGGGCCCCCCACCGCTAACCCCTAACCCTGGCTAGGCTACCTGGAAAAGGCCCGCTGTGATTCTGAAGGCAACCGCCAGCACCCAGGATGGGTGGGTGGCCCAACCGGGAAGGCACTTAAGGGCAAAGGGGAGCCCACCCTCCTGCAGAGCGGCAGCTGAAGAAGGGCCCCCCCGCTGGTGTCAACAAGGGGGGGCTTCCCTTGCCGGGGCTGCCTGCCCCTCAGCCGCCACTTGTCCGCTGGACCCCCATCCTGGCTGGACTTTGAGATGGCTAGAAATCAGCTGGGCCTGGGAGATGGACGTGTCCCCACGGCCCCTGGGACTCCTTGCCCGCAGACGATGGCCGAGCCAAGGCCCGGACTAACCCTGCGCGCAAAGGAATCTGGCCCTGCTGGGCTCCTCTTTGGAGTCGGGGTCTCCTAGGGAGAAGCCAGCTGGCAATCTAGGGCAGGCCCGGAGCAGGCGGGCACAGAGGGGAAACGTCCGGCGGAGGCTCTGAAGTTGGTTTCGAGGCCAGGGTCCTCGGGGGCAGCTAAGACTCCCTAAGCTAAATGGGGGTTTCCGGAGGCAGCCAACCTCGGCCCTTGACCGCTCCAGCCGGACACCCTCCGGCAGTTGTGCTGCTTAAGGCATCCGGGGCTTCACCCCCTGCGAGGCCCACGGGGGGCTCCGTCCGGCGGGCTAGGACGTCTGGCACTGGACGTTGTGGCGCAGAGGGTCTTCAAAGTCGCCTTCGTGGTAGATGTCGCTCTGGAAGCGGCGGCCAGAGAAGTCCGGCTGGGGGAAATACTCCCGCAGTTCCACCTCCTCCATGTCCTCCGTGGCCATCACCTCTTCGTGGCGGGGGAAGAAGGACTGGAACTGGCGCAGCTGGTGGGGGGG